CTTGAGGAGATTGCTCCACCAACCTGATCCTGTGACTGAGGCAGTGGGGCAACCAGAAACCAAGGGAAGAGGGCCCTGGGGGCTTTCATGAGAGTCTGGGCCACATGTTGTTCATAGCAAGCCAAGAACTGAACTTGTGGGGAGAAGTTGTGCTGAGCCATCAGAATAAGCASTCCTAGGGAGCACAGACTCCATAAGGAATGTAACTGTTATAATCTAAAGAACACAGAACAAACCTGTGCAAACCAATACTTTTCAAAGACTAATACTTTGGTCAGATGACAGTAGTTGGTGAGAATGATGGCAAAGAGCAAAATTAACAGAAAAAACCACCTCTGATCCAGATTTCAAGCTCCTGCTCCAAGTGCTGTTTTCAGAAGGGTACCAAAATTTTGTCACCCTGAGTTAAAAAGTGCAATTTCCCCAGCCTTGGGAACTGAATTGCTTAGATTTAAGACGTTGGCCTGAGGCAGACAGGTAACACTGAGAAATGTCAAAATTTGAAAGCCAAAATTTGTTAAAATTCTGAGCATCTGAGAGCAGCCAGATTGCACTGCRGAGTGCTGTAAAATGCCATCAATAAAAGATTACGAACACCCGTGATAAAGGCTTAGATTTAAGATCCCTTGGTGGGGACCTGTAAGAAAGATAATCTTGGTRTTCATATGACAGACCCTGAGGACCAGGCACCTGTCTACTTGTCTTCAAGGAAAACAAAGGAAAAAGGCTCTTCTGAGTAGGTCCTTGCACCAGCAAGATTTCCAAGGCAGTGAGGTGGTGTTTCACCCTGCCAGGTGCCCCTAGAAAGAGTGAGCACCTATTCCTGCTTGGGAAATCCTGGCAGTATTGTATGGGACAGCTCTATGTTCAGAGCAGCAAAAAGAGATCAGGGAAGGAATAAAGCAAAAGCAGCAGGGGCATTGGTGCTGTTAATGGGTGTGGGACAGAAAAGCAAGGCTTCAGAGAGTGGAAGATTAGTGAAAGACAAGGCTGATGTTGCTGAGAGCCCTGCAAGTTTTGCTASCTTCAGTAGCCACAAGCATAGGAAAGGTCATCCTAGAGTCAAGAACGTGCTTTCTGCAGAGAAAGGAAGTGTTAAATTGGCGTTTCCTATTATTGAGGGACAAAGTGKCTCTTTTCTGCTATCAGAAGCATTGGAAAGCCTTAAAAGCTGACAAGGYCTGGGGTCTGTAAGGCTGTAAATAGCAGCATCTATATTTAATCAAAGATGATGAAGGATTCAGTGAATTTCTGTCCTGCAAGCTCAACATCAGCCATGTGACAAAGACGAGTAATGCAATGGCAAAGAACGTGACTATGAGAGTTTAGAAACGCAGAGAAATGGACAACCACTGCAGATTCCTGGCACGTGGCTGCTGCCTGGTACTCTTCAATTCTTGAACAGGCTGCAGATCCTTCAGTGGCCAATGTGCACTGCTCGTTATGACAGCTCCAGAAAGGGTCACAGCACCATGAGGGGACATCCTGTCCTTTAAATGCCCATAATATATACATGGCAACATAATATATACATCTAATAGCTATTGGAATAATGATTCATTTACTACTTTGAGACACAGATTTTATTTTGGTTTTGGTTTTTTTTTTGAGAGAATTGAAACCCAAATCTGTTTGAGTTTCCTTTTAAAGCATTTCATCTAAACCCACCTTGTGGCTTTGACACCAGGTTCATTTTTGATCAAACTCCAGAGTCCTTTCAGAAGTCCAGCYCTGAAGAGTGGAATGAAAGGCATTTCCCCCTCCCACCCTCTCCATTCTGCTGGGACTCAGGAGGTCAGGAGGTGAATTTTTATTGTTAGCTGCCTGAAAATAAAATCATTCTGTGCTGGTATCTTTGGATGGACACTGCAAATGATGGATTTCAGCAAGAGCATGTCCTGGAAGTGGAGTAAAGCAGTCCCAGGAACAGAGCAGGTTTGTGTCAGGATACAGGCAGGGAGGAAGTGTCACAAGAGTCTTTCTTGGAAGAGCCAAACACACCTGGTTGGATAAAAGCCCATCTGAATTAATTCACTGACCATTTAATTTTGAATTTATTTCAAATTAAGCCCTTATTTACACATTCCTTTGGGGTTAATCTCCCCAGATACTGGCTCGTTTGGTGATTCCTGAGCTAGAAGTGATAGTGTTTCCTCATACCGAAACCAAATCAAACAACACTGGGGAAAAATGTGAGGAGAGCAAGAAAACAGAAAYAGGCCCTTGGGTGAGACCCATTGTCCAGGCTAAGGGGAGACATGAGGGAACAGAGGAAGGACATTTTGCAATCAGTAAAGTCAGGTCAGAACGCAGAGCGGGAAAAGGATGTAGAGCTTGGTCAAAAAGCATGAAGAACCAGATGATTGGCTGCTTTACACCACAGCTTTTTTGACCCAAGGTCTAGTGTGTACCTGCATTTATTACAGAGCAGTCTTCACCCTCTGCATGCTCTCTTTTTAACTCTGATCAAAATAAATCGTAAGCACAGGAGAAAAAAAAAAAAAGAAAAAAAGAAAAACCTTTAAAAGTAAACAACCCCCCAAAAGCCCCAGCTCTCTTTTCTAGCCACTCGCACAAAACAACAGCAGCAACCATARCAGGAAAGCTTTCTGGAGATCCCTGGCTTCTCTTACTCCCTTTCTTTTACCAAAATGTCAGCATGAAAAATTGGAAATCAGGGCCATAAGCCAGGGGGAGATATTGTTCAGGTCACAGGGGGTTTTAGGGAAAATTAAAGGTTGAAACTGTCATACGAAAAATGCAAATTGAATGTCATGAGGTGCTGTGAGACTACAGGGGGATCTCCCCCAGCAGGGCTGTAAACCCTGTCATTTGAGTCACTTGAAATCAGGTGAGGAAGGCCGAGATGAAACTATTATTACATTTTATGCTCGTCTTGCAAATGTATGATGATCTTCGTTGGATGACTTATCCCTCAAGCAACTCTTTGTCAGGTTTAGATATGTTTGCCCAAAGCAATCCTRTATGTCTGAAGGACTGCAGAGTTGAGGATGTCCCAAAGATTGGTGCACCCAACCTGGCATTTTGTGGAAACATCAGAATATAAAACAATGTAAAAGTAACATCCTGAGCTTCTGACCTCTCTGTTCCAAAACAGGACTTCTAGAGGATTTCAGAGGCATGAAAGATCATATTCTGAGCAGGAGCTATGATGTGTAGGAACCCTGTCCGTGGCATTATTAAGCAGACGTGTGGAGTAAACAAGAACCCTGGAAAGCTGCTTGGTTTCTATTAAAAGTCTGATGAAATCAAAACATTCCATATCCTGGCCAATGAAAATGGTCACATTGTGATCATCCCAGAATCCTCCTCTAGGCTACAGAAATATTCATGCCAAACAAGCTGGAGGTGCTGACTTGGTCCCTAGACTATTGTGCAGAGTCATGCCCCCATAGCTTTGGATGATTATGGTGCCTATATTCCAGATAATCATTGCATAAAGACAGTTAACAGCCCAGAAACTGCACTAATGTGGGAACTGAACCTAATTAGAAACCTCAGTATTATCACCTACTTTAAAGTAACCCCTTAATTTGTTTGTGTGTGGCTAAAATTCAGACACTTAAAGTTGCATGAGGTGAACACCACAACTAATCAGTGTTGATTTTAATCAGTTTGGTGTTTAAGCTCTTAGCTGGGGCTGAAGTTTAACCCTGTGCCTGACATGACTGTCCTTCAGATGACTGATAAGGTGACAGAGATGAAGATGACAGTGTTCAGAGCCAAGCAGGTATGAGACAAAGATCTTGTGGAAGACCTGTGAGAGGAGGGACACAGGACACACATCTGCACTCCCACATGCACAGCACAACACCAGGTCACAATTTGCTTTGCTCTCATGACTCTGTCATGAATGGCCATCCTTACAAGTGGTATTTATGGGAGGGAAGCTACACTTTAACAGCTTTGCTCAGTGGCTTCACTATCAGTGGGCAGTTCCTGCTGTGGCTGTGAGACAGAAGATGTTGTAATCAGTCCTTTCCAACACTGCATTCCATGAAAGTCAGTGCAGACATCAGTGGAAGCAGGATTGGACCCTGAATACGCAAAGGAGAGAAAAGCACCATATGCTRGAAGGAGATGGGTATTATGTAAATAATAAGGACTGAGACATTTTGTAAGTGGGCAGGCCGATGTCATTATTTATCTTCAATTAAACTAAATGGTGGGGTCAAATCATCCTATTAGGCAGAGCAGATTAAACTCAGGCTGTCTCTTTTTGTTATTGTTTCTGGGGGAGTTTTGGAGCTTTCTTAATTTAGGTCAAAAAATGAGAAGCTTCCTCATAAGCATTTTAATTAACCAGCTGAAGAATTCTCTTGCCCCCAGAGACTTGTGGTACCAAATCCAGAGCTCAGACTGTCACATTTCAGCTCAGATTGTATTTGTGTCCCTTTATTCAAGTCAAAAACACAGACAGACATCAAACCCTGCTGCCCGCCCTCACTGAGTACTTGGGAAAAAAAGAAAAAGTATCTTAAAAGTTTGATTTTTGACCTAAACATGTTCTTTGCAATGCCCCAGTACATGAGGATGAATGTGTATGAGGAAAGTGACCCAAACTTGCAGAGAAAAGCMCTTTTGCCTGTACCTTAGGGCTACGCACACTTTATCCCAGGGATCTTTCCTGCCCCAAGGCATCAGTGCAATAGGGTCCTCCAAAGTCTGGCTGAGTAAAATCCCAGTCCTTTTGCAGGGCTGCACTGTCCCACTAGGGAGAGGCTCTCAGTTGAAGGGTTGGGATCCCACGGAGTGTGCGGCTCCTCAAGGAGATGAGGAGCTCCTTTCTGGTCCTTGGTGGCTTTTGCCCACGTTCCTCAGGCTGGGGCAGCTCCTGGCAGCAGTCCCACAATGTGGTGACCTCACAGCGCAGTCACCCCTCGTCACAGCGGGTTTGTTCCAGGAGAGGAATCACACACCTCTGTGGAGGACAAGGGGACAAAGGCATCCTCGAAGCCCCCGCTGCCCCGTGTCCTCCTCTATGTGAAGCTGGCACAGACACTGCTCCGTTCCAGCTTGTGGGGCGGCAGTGAGCTGTAGGAGGGGAGGACATTGAGGAGCAGGTATGGTTTGGGGAAGGGCAGCAGCTGCACGTGGTGGGGAGCGAAGGGGAGCGCGCTGGGCAGCCGGGCAGTCGGCAGCTGTCCTKGCAGCGGTGAGTAGAACCCCACAGCAGGAAAGGAAGCGGAGAACTTTCTTGGCATCAAGCTTGGAGCCTTTCAAGAATAAAAGCGTAGTCTCAGGTGAATCAGTGTGGACTTCTATTCAGATAAAATTTACAATCAACCTCATTTGTTTCACCAGGGCTCAGAAATGAAGAAGAAAAGTTTAGGAAAATAGATTTCCTAAAACCCCATTGGTTTGTTGTCACCCAGGRCACAAGGCAAAATACCCTTTTTTCTAGCCATGAAAAAACTCCTGTTAGGGGAAGAGCCTTTGTGCCAGTCTAAATAACATTAACAGTCCTGGACTGCTAAAGCATAGGTCAAGGGCAAAAAGTGCTGGTCAGCCTAACCAAGGGTRGACATTGTAAAAAGATGCTGTCTGTAAAGGAACATGACTTTGTGGCTGAAATGTTATTTCCGCCTTTTCAGGAAATTTCTGATGATAAAGACATTTTGAATCAAAGTATGATTTACAGAGAAGTGATTTAGAAGCAAAATGGGGAAGGATCACCCTCTACRAGAGACACCTCACAGCATATTTACCAAAAAGGTTTAATTCTATGAAGAGAAGTGTCATTTGATCAGATTTGCTGTGATTTCTTGTCATCAAATTGCATTTTTGAATTTTCCAGGGCTCCTTCTCTGTGATAGTCCCATGTGATTACTGGTAAAGTGATTACCTGGTGGAGGATAGCTGTCTCTCTCTTAGTGGCTTTATACAAAGTGTCCAATACTCACTGYGATGTCTGACTTGGAAGCAGGAATGAAATCAACTTCTGTCAAATGCTGAAGGCCACCAAAGTTGCCAAATTTTTCATGTTTCCTCCATTTTGCTCGCTGATTTTGGAACCAAATCTGTATAAAGGCAGGAAAGAAATTAACTGAATATGAAGGAGTAATTTCTCTCAACCAACTACTTTTCCTATTCTCTGAGCATCAGAAAATATTGACTTCTAGTTCAGCAGAACCAGGGGCCAAATCTAAAGCAAACCACTGGGTTTGACAGAGCAGTTTTCACACTTTGCATATCATGTGGGGTCTCTGAACTACCATGATAGCCTGTTTTCTATTGTGGCTCACAGAAGAAATAGGATCAGCCTGTTCAAGGAAAGAGTGTATAGCAGGTTTTCCAGGGCTCTCTGTGGAAGGCAGATCCTTCTGTGGTCAAAACTGTGCAGTGCTCAGTGCACACAGCATTCTGGTTTCCCCAGAAAGTGTGACATTTTTCACCTTATATCCAAGTAAACGGACTGAGAAAAGATCCACCTAGATGTTTGGCTGSGCTGCAATAAAGTGTGCCACCAGTGGAGACGTAGTAACAGGGTTCTACCTTTATTTAGCTGGTAGCATTTGGAAATTCATGTAAGGGACCTAAGTGAAAGACCCAAGGGGATGCTCAGCAATCTGAGTATGTTAACTGCCATCTCTTTTGCACTGCAAAACAGACAACTAATTTTCTCAGGAGAATTCCTTTCGTCTGTCAGCTGATTTGACCAGTCTGCCTTCTGACAGAGTCATACATGTATTTATTGTGCAGCTGCAGTTTTGCATCTTGCTGCATTGCTGTCAAAAGTTGAAGCCCTCTTCAACTGTAGTTTCTAGCTTGCTGAGGGACTTGCTGTTTGAATGTAAGCAAGTGGTTCACATGAACATGAAGTGTGAGCTATTGAAGTCAGGTGCTATTGGATGTAAGTACACATGTATTTTAAGCCAAATAATGAGCAGCTCAATTATTTCTGTGTGTTTCACCCAGGAAGTAATGGAATGTCAGGAGCCCTTTGCTATATTGCTGATAGTTAGCTGCTGTATTTGCTGATAGAAGTATCTGAGGTTACTGAAAGGACAGTTTTGTTTATCTGGGTTTACATGAKTGTGGAAACTGCTTAGTCTGTATGAACGTCTCCATTCCCTTTCTACCACACAGGAGTTATATATGGTGAAACAGCACCACTTAACACTCACGGAGTGATAGAGGGCAAAGGAGGCACTCAACATTCTGTCTCTGAAATGCTCCTTCTAAAACCAGCACGTGGGATAAAGTCCTTACTTCATGGACTTACTTTATTTAAAAGAAAAGCAAAGCTTTTAGCATTTCYCAGACCAAACTGCTCTTTTTTGCCCAACCAGCTCTCCAGCACCCTTACGTCTAAAATGATTTTTCAATGCTCACCATGAGTTCTTCTTATTGTGTTTTAAACCTATTCCTCATGCTCTGTCTACCACAGATATTGTACCTTTATCAACCAAATACACAGAATCATAGAACCACAGACTGCTCTTGGTTGGAATGCATCTTTTAAAGAAGATATAGTTCCAACCTCTCTGCWGTGGGCAGGGTCATCTTTCCCAGACCAGGTTGCTCAAAGCCCCATTCAACCTGACTGAACACTTCCAGTGATAAAACACCCACAGCATCTCTGAGTAATCTTTTCAGTGTCTTTTCAATCTCACCACAAAGAATTTCTTCCTTWTACAAAGTAAATGTATCTTCTTTCAGTTTAAAACTGTCACTAATAATCTCATAATAAAAAAAGATGAGTTTGGCAGTGGCTATTTTCATAAACCAGTGTTGATAAGCATTARATATATTATCTTTTCTTTAACTCTTCATGAACAGAGAGTCATAAAGTCTTTTTCTCTGTTTTGCCAAAAATCAATGTTTGACTGTCAGGCTMGTCATTGTCTGGTTGTCCTGTTTACCCTTTAAATACTGACAGAACTGGTTTAGAGTTCTCCAAAACCCCTGGAATGGAATGTCTCTCGTGCTCCAGAACTGGTTAAATATCAACACTGATGACACAAACTGCTTCTCAAGAAGCTTTTTAGGAACCACTGGAGGTAAGTTACTTTGATGTGTGGATTCAAAAMTATCTGTCTGTAGCAGCTGCTGTTCAACATTGTCCTTATGGAAAGTGTTACTGCCCTACCTGACACATTTCCAAGGACAGAGCAGAAATTATGACTGAACATGTTTGCCATCTATGCATTATCCTTGACAGTCCAACTGTTTCTATAAACTAACAGATCAATATAACTGATCACTTTGCATTTTGTTTTTTTGTTCTTAATCAACTTTTATTGAGTTCTTGATCCTTAATTTTTCTGACCAAAGCTTTRGCCTGCACCCTCCTGCTTTGCTTATTCATTTTTTTTTATAATTTCTTGTTTCTAATGTTTACTCATCCCGGATTCTTAAATTTTTTCTGTATAACACATGCAGTTATAAAATTTCATCTATCCACTTCAGCTGTTACACAGTAATCATAACTTTTTTCTTGATTGGAAGACAAGATTTTTCTTGTTATAGAAATAGTTATAGAGTTTCATTTGGTAACCCAATGCTTGTTCACTTACTTTTTCCCCAGTTAAATTACATTGTTGAGGTGATTTGACTTACATGAAGCTTTTAGCTTTGTCAAAACTATTATTTCAAAGTAGCAAGAGCACCTGCAAGTCCTCTGCATGTTATGTGATTYATGTATGATAAATGCAGTCAATAAAAATTATAACTTGTAGCTCGAACCTAAGTTACTGCTAATTTTTAGCTCTGGGGCTGACTTCCCTTTATCAGCCAGGATGAGGTCAAACACAGAATTTCCTGTGTCATGTGTAACACTGTCTGAATTGGGAATTTGCCATCTACACTTCATACATGAGGGACTTCTTCTTTTATTTGTATCTCACGCTGATGTTTCCCAGAGTAATTAATTTTGACTTTTCCCTATACAGATATTAAACAATTTTTTAAACAGAAAAATATCCTGATCTTTCATGTGATTCATTGCTCAAAACACTGCCTGGTAGCCCTTTTTGTGTTTTATGCCATCAGAAATGCATTGCTGGTGCACTGGTATTGCTAACAGGCATATTGTGGCTGTGCAGGTCTAATTCTCCCTGTCACCTAATGATGAAGCAATATCATCATGGCTAGCCAATAGTTCCAGGAATGTCATGGTTAATAAACTGCTCTGTGTTGAACTTTGATTGCTAGAGAGGGATATATGCAAAGAAGTGCAATGACTATATAGCATTGAGGCAAGAGSAGAAACTGCTTCATGCAAAAATTATCACAACAGTGCCTGGTAGGCAACACCAAATGCCAATAGAGAGTGGTATGTATATTTTATCGTGGCACATTTCATATGCAGTAAGCATTTGGGGTCAATTTTTGCACAGTCAGCAAGAYTGTATTACTACTGGGGGAAACTGGATTAGTTTCTGTGCGTTCAATTTACAGCCAGGGCATTTATAGCCTGTGATATCAAAATACAGAACACCATGAAGTACTTCCATTTTGGCAACTATTTTCACATTTTTTGAGACCCCGTGGAAGATGGATGTGGATGACAGTTTGTACTGGATGAATATTAGCCTATAAACGGTTGATAAATGATTAATAAATATTTTCATAAATGGCCGCTCTGTCGCTTCAGAGTCCAACAGGTTGCTCATAACCATCTGTAACTCCTATTTGCTATGCATTTAGTATGGTTGGAGCTCCTGTTAACCCTTGGATTAATTCCATTTGGTTAGTCACAGCTGGGTGACAAATACTTCTTTCCCTATTTGTAGAACAGTGGTACTGCCCTCATCTGTAGGGTAAGAGAGAGGTCACRTATTTCATTAGCATTGTCACCCAGGCATAAACTATTAAGAATGCACTCCAAATAATGAATGCATTGCAGTGAACACAACCTTTTGGAGACACTCTACCTGAACTCTGGCTTCTGGGAGGTTTATCTTGGCTGCCAGTTGATTGCGAATATGGACATCTGGATAGTGAGTCACTTGGAAAGTTTTTTCCAGTTCCTGGAGCTGCTCAGCCGTGAACGTTGTTCGGATTCTCCGTTTCCCTTTCCTCTCAGCTGTGAAAATGAGGAAAGATGTATTACCTTTTACAGGAAAAGGCTGCAGGACCACAAGAAGATTCAGAGATCCAGCAATTTCTGTAAATTGCTCTGCAATTGGGATGGCRTCTACAGTACCTTTTAGAAATTTACTTACTTATCATAGATGACTGGCCCCTGACCCAGCAGAGAATGTGAATGAACTCTTTTATCATTTAAAGAATGAGTCAAAAGTGTCCATTTGCAGTGCTAATTCCATGGATCCACTGCATGTCAACAGCTACAAACCCATAAGCATTTTAACCACTTAAGCCCTGCATTGAGTTGGTCATCAAAGTCCTTCCGTGCTGGATCAACCACTGACTCCTGACTGACTTCAGTTCGCTTCCCATGCCATTCCTTCAGCAGCAGGGATAGCCAGCAGTTTAACTTTGCAGGTACATAGAAAAATTACTTTTCTGATTGCACCATTGTGGTACAGGGGCTTTCTAAACAAGCTTAACCTAAAGGACTTAAGAACAGAGCCTTAAAGTCCACGGGGAAGTTTAGGTGCTGTGAATTCCTTAGGAGACTCATAGACTTCTCCACTGCTTCACCTGTGATGACACAAAGGACTTCCCTCAACACCGCTATAATGTTTTGAAAATGCCCTCCCACACCAGGGTATCTTATTTAGATCATGAACTCTGCAGAGCGCTTGGTGGAAGTTAGAGTGAGGTCTCTGTTGCTCTGAAATGATGTTGAAGGTCTTGCAAAGAGGAGAAAACAAGAAAACAGCAGCCTTGTCCCAAGGCTGGAGTCTTATGCACAAATGGAGTATCTTCCAGCTGACATTGAATGAGCAGCACAAAAAGTCATGCCCAAAGCCTTGTGAGTCACAGGGTTTTTTTCTACTGAGCTTGGAAAACTGCATCTGATAGGTGCATAAAAATTCTAATACTATTTTAGTGATTATGATGAGCTTGCTACTCAGTGACCTGAAGCAATTGTCAGTGAAACCATGTTGTTAGAGAAAATTGCTATTCTCAATGGCTGCTTTTGGTCTTCCATAGTCTCATGCCAACTAACAATTCATACTATGTAAGCAGAGGCATACTCTCTGTAATGGGAACGATTAACCASGCAAGGTTAGCTTAGCCCCTCAAAGAGACTTGGTACCCTTTTACCCCCTTTTAGTTCAACCATTGGCATACGCTCTGCCTTTGGAGGGCTAAAACACTGAAAATGTAACTAAACACCAATATAAACTGGGCTCTGTGCCAACCAGAAAATGACATTTTTCATTCCATAATCGAAACCTCATTGTGACTCTGTTGACACAGAAAATAAGGATTAAAATATTCTGATCGTCAGCTTGGTACAAAGGAGCCTGGGACACGACACCATTGAGAATATATCATCTTTTCTCAGCCTTTTGGGGACTTTGAAAGGAAACCAGTCATGCAAGAATAACTGAGGAGTGTCATTTATCATAAACACTGTCAATACTACCATGTCTCAGAAACAACCTAATAAAGTTGATGTCCAACACAGTTAAATCTGTATCATTAGACTTTTCACCAGCCTATCAAAGTACTCCTCATTAAACTGCAGCACTGGCTTCAGACTGAAGAGAAAAATGTTATTTTTGCTGGATCTTGCTGGTACTACTGGAGCAGGGATTTGAAGTGAGAAATATTTTTGTGTATTTATGCTGAAGGTAGGAGTAGGCACCTTCTCCTAAGAAGCCCTGATTGTGTCTACTTGAACCTTCTCAAAAGATGACTGCAATCCAGGGGGGATTGTTAGTGTTACATGCAGGAAAAGGCAATTATCAGTGCTGATAYTTATATTGATTGAGGAGGAATGTCAGGGCACTCCACCCCCTGTGGGTAAYACAGGGATCCCATTTCATAATGGTGTTTCTTGTTTGGAGGATTTTCACCTCACACCTGCTGTGGTTTACTGTAGTTTGTCCCACTGGTACCTGAGAAGTGTCCAGGACCAGAGAACGTGGCTGCAGAGAGAACAGGCACAGGAGTTTCTGGTGTTTCATACCAGCTTCTTTGGGGTGAAAATGATCCAGATAACTTGGTGATGGGCAAAAGAAACTCCCTATTAGTTCACTTTTCATCCTCCACATTTTTCCTCCAAGAAAGGTGAACTGTTTTACAGAYGAGACTCTTACATAACATGAGAGTCTAAACAGTGCTCAGAAGCCCAGACTTTTCACAGCTGAAACTCGTCAGATTGAACAAAATACAGTAACATTAGGTCAGTTGTGAGCCAGTAGAGACTGAAGGACAAACTTCAATTTTGACTAGAAATGAAATTAAGTTGCTAACAAAATAGATTCCTGTGAACTAGTGATGGTGTCTACCAGCAGAAAATCTAGAAAAGTGCATTTTTTTCTATGAGTAAGCAGTCGTTCTATTTTGAATTTTTAAAAAACTATTAAGAAATGCAAACAATCTGGGACTCCATGTTAACATTTTCTGGGACTCCATGTTAACATTTTCTCTGCAAGATGAAAACTTTTCTGACTGCAGCTTTGATAGTTCCCTTTGCCTTGGGACCTCAGCTTAGAGATCCCATAGCAAACAACAGCATTCAGAATTACAGTCTAATAAAGAATGTGGGTGGAAGATATAAAACTAGGAAGTGTTGGAAGTGTAACTTTGGCTTTTCAAACGTGGCTCCAGAGTCTCCGGGGAAATAAAAGTCTGTCTGAGTTTCCTGAGCTATTTTTTATGTAAAAGCTGGGGATATTCAAGTGTGCTTTTTTGCTCTGTGAAAGTCATTTGCAGGTTAGCTGACAGCTGAAACCAAGCCTGAAAATACCAGGCAGCTAAATATGTCAGCATTTTGAGATGCTTAGAGATACAGCTGTCTATACATTGCCTTACTGTTGACATTGGGAGGGCGAGATTCTCCCAGCTGATAAAGCAGTATAGCTCCTTTAAATTCACKGTCAGGCTCATTTGTCCTCTGCAGATCTGCTTTATTACGAGGTCAGGCTTGGAGCGAGTTGGAACATAGGAACTTGTACGAGTAGAGATTCTTCTTGAAAGTGCACAGTGGAAGGATGAGATCAATGACTACAAGCTGCAGCAGGGMAAATTCTGATTACATAACAGGTAAAAATGTTTTCATTGTGAGGGTAATCTGACATGGGCCAGGAGAGGCTGTGAAGTCTCAGCCCTTGCAGATACTCTACACTTGGCTGGAGAAAGGCCTAAGACACCTGATTTAAGCTGACCCTTCTTAGATTTGGGGTTGGACAAGGTGGTCTCCAGAGGTCTCTCACAACATATTTTATTATGTGATCTCTGACCTCCAAATATGCACACGAAGTAAAGCCACTCCATACTCATTACCTAAAAAATAATGGAGTTTAAGGCATTTAAGGCCTTAAGCTAAGCACAGCTTCAAAGCATCTGATTTGCAATTGCTTATGTACACAGTTTGAGCTTAGCATATTGCACCTTATTTCTACTGTCCAGTACCACATGGTTTCAAGATATTACAGGTATGGGCAAATCAATACAAGAGACAATGATTACTACTGCTTGTAAAAGATTTGTTAAGTAAAATCTGTAGAGCTGCAATAACACCATACTTGGGCCAGATTTCTTCAGGACTACCTTCTGTCACAGGCAAATAGTCTGGGATACACSTTGTACTGCTGTTTCTTAGCTGCATACCTGAACCAGCTAGAAAAATGCTGCCTCAGGGTGAACCCTGCAATTGCATCCCCTATTTGCACTTCCCCATCAGYAGTAGGACTGCATCAAGCCTAGCTGGTCTCATTGCACTGGGGCATTCGGGATGGAAAAGGAATTAAAAACCCAGCAGAAGGGCTGGAAGTCGGTGCTGGCACATTTGCCTTGAAGCAGGTAGTCTAGGTAAATGAAAACTGGAGGGATCAGTTTATCTTGCTGCAGTCTTTGCTGTCATTTCTGGACAGATACCCTCTCATAATATGCGACAGMCAGATCCAAAGATTCTGCTTCTTCTTTGACAAGGAGAAAGCAGTGACATAAGCAGGCAAGTTGCTCTAGATCTCAAGTTGATCTACAGATCCTCAGAAATACATTTTTCCTGTGTAAAAAAGTTGACTTGTATCATTTATTTCTCAGAAAGAAACTCAGGTTGTTGAAAAAGAGCCTAATTACATCTCGTTAAGTTCTGTTTTCTCCCTTTTTTCCTTTTTCAGAGAATTCCTCTCTCTCTTCCTTGTAATTCAGATATGTGGGCCTCCCAGACAGTTCCTTCTTGAGGCTTTTCTGAGTGTCACTCTCTTGTGGTGTTATTCTGCTCATGGCAGACAGCCCCATAGCAAAAACCTCAAGTTATTACAGAGCGCTGATGGCATCAGGATGAAACATGATTGTCTGTGAACAGAGATGTGCCCATGGCAGTCCCTCTCCTTGTTAAAGAGGTGGTTCACGGCTTTCAAACGAGCTTGTGCTGCAATATTTAGGCATGAGTATTCCAGTGTASCTAATCTTTATTAAAGTGGTTTTTCAGCCTTTGTTAAGAAGAGCTGGCATAGCCAGCGAGACTGATCCTAATTGGACAGGTACAATGTGCTCCAGATAGAGCCTCCTGCTAGTGAAATGGAGCATTTAGCATCCAGCTGCTGGCTGTTCAGGCATTGCCAAAGTTAATTCAGAGAAGCACAACTTGAACTTTTAAAGCCTTGACCCCCTYCCTTCAGTTCAAAACTCCTTGACAGAGAGTTGCTTCCACCCTGGCACTGAGTGCACTACCTAATCACCTGATAGCAACACTGAAATGCAGAGAGGTACAGACTTGAGGGGGTGTGAGCAGGAATACTAGAAATACCAGGCTGGAAGCCTGTTTAAGCAGGCTGTACGGTGGTGGTCAGGGGAGTTTCTAAGTCTTGCTTGTCAGAGGAGTTGGCAAGGAGCAGATGGGATATATGAAACCATTCATGCGGACASTTTGTTGTGGAGGATCGTGCTCACCATCAGCCTGAGCCCCTGGTGAATTTAACCTTTCCTGTCTGCCAGCAA